TTTTTTTTTTTTTTTTTTTTTGGCAGAACCGGGGATTGAACTCAGGCCCTTGTGCTTGCCAGGGAAGCGCTAATTCTACTGAGTTAATCTCCCCGGCCCTGTGCAGGGTTTTTTGTTGTTGGTTTTTTTTTTTTTTTTTTTTTTGGTGTTGGTTATCAAACTCAGGACCTTCTTCTTGACAGGCAGGCGCTGTGCCACTGAGCTATAATCCATAGCTTTTCTTGGTTTTTTTGAGACAGGACTTTGCTATGTAGTTCAGGCTGGTCTATATCAAGGATTTCTTTATAAATCCCAGTTAACAGAAATGTAAATGAGAAGGAATCTTGAGGCATGAGGAACCAAATTGGAAATGGCAAGGTTTGACTGCATACTTTTTCACCAGGCAATTTAAAACAGTTACACTACAGAACACACACAGTGCTCTGAAATATCATTTCAGAAATTGAGATTTGAATACTGTGGAAAAGGACAGAACAATAAGGCAGAAAAACAATAGAATAGGGAGTAGAAAGAAAGATACTACAAAGATGAGGAGGTGGATGTGTGCTGCCCAGATAGAGAAACACCTGAGAGAGAACTCCTCCTTATTCAGTGACTAACAAGCCACAAGAAAATACTAGAAACAACACATCATGGTAAAGAAGAATATATGCAGTGTATTATTTGTTGAAAGTGTACTTCCGATTTGATTTGAAACTGTCTCATTGCTGTTTATCAATAAAACTTTGAAAAAAAAAAAAAAAAAGACATCATGGTTCATACCTGTAATCCAAGCACTCAGGAAGCTGAGGCAAGAGGATTGCTGTGAGTTTGAGGCCCACCTGTGCTAGACAGTGAGTTCATGGCTAGCCCAGACTACAGAGCAAAACCCTGTCTCAAAAACGCAAACAAATGAACAAACACTATGAGATGTTCATGAGATGCAGCTCCTTCACAAAAGGCTCAAAGACATCTGATATCACATTATTGCACAAAACTTCTTTCTTAGTTTAAGTACTCCAATTTATCCTCCCTCTTTTTTATGGATCCTAATGAATCAAGAAGACTCAGAGAGCCTTAGATGTTGATATTTCCAAAAGTACTACCCTCATCACCCTGAATGATGAGCAAGGAATTTTTTTTTTTTTTTTTTTTTAAGTGCTGGGAATTGAACCCAGGGCCTCCACTCTCAGTTATGTTCCTAACTCTTCTTTTTAAATTGTTTTTAAATCTTGAGATGGATCTTACTAAGTTATCCAGGCAGGTCTTGAATTTGCAAACTTCTTGCCTCAGCTTTCCAGGGCAGCAAGATTACAAGCATGTGCCACTACACAGGACTAGGAATAATCTTCCCTTTTTACTTTTCTGGTATAGATATCAGAAAGGCTAAACAATTTATTTTTGAAGTAGAGTCCAGAAGTTAAGAGAAGGGAAGGTAGACAGAGAAAGGCTGCCATTACAGGCATGAGCCACCGCACTTGGCCAAGAAGACCCTATTTTTAAAAATTCTCTCCAAAGCAGGGATGATGGTACAAGCCTGTAATCCCAACATTTGGGAGGCTGAGGCAGAAAGATCACTGTGAGTTAGAGGCCAACATGGGCTACATGATGAGTACAAGGCCAACCTACACTACAAAGCAAGACCCAGGAAAGACAGAAAGATAGGAAAGTCTTTCCATATAACACCAGGGAGTAGAAGCTCATGTCCACTTGGCCCATCTACTGAAACTATCAGAGGCATGACAACACATGGGCATTTTAAAAACAAAAAAAGTGGCATCTACATAGTATTAAAAGAAAAGTCCTAAATAAGTGGTCTCAATATATGTCACTTTCAGCACACTTGGATTTACCTGCTTTTTCAATTTGTAAGACAACACATTATAGTATTCCAGACAAAGAAATAAGGAACTTCACAAATATTCACTTACAAGATAAATGACAAGGAAGAAAACCACACTGACAAATATCATCAGTCTTGCACACTGCCAAAGGCTTCACTTTCTCTGATGCATTGCAGTAGTCCTTAGATTTTATTTCGGTCTACAGAAAGGAGCAAATACAAAGGCTTTGTTCAAGGCCATTCAGGTCACTAAGGCGAACAACCTAGCTCTGAAAAGGTAGCTGTTGTTACTACTCACATTGTGCCCAAAGTGCTGAAAACACGACTGGAGCTCAAAACACCAGCCACAGCTAATGCTAAAGCAGGGCAATGAGTTTCGGTTTGAAGCACCATCCAACTGAGTGCACAATGAAACGTTGCCTAAGAAACTGATAAATCTAAAAAAAAGAAAGAAACTGATAAACCTGGTAAACAGTGCCCGCCCAAAGTTCCTTAAGTCTGCGCAGAAGAGCTGTGTCATGATTTGCACAGAAAAAGAACAAGTTTCCTATATCTGGGAAGAAAAGACGGAGAGCACAACAATACTACCCTGAGTTAAATTTCTGTAACTAAAAACTGTCTGCTAAAAATGAGGAAAAGGCATATATCGTATTAAGATTTACTTATCACTCCATTCCAAGCACTATGCAAAACACCATAGAGTCTCCCATCCAACTGCTCATACCACTCAAAGTATTTGTGGAAGCTGATTAAAAGACAGTCTTGGGCACCACCCCGGGCCCACTGAATCCGAATCCCCAAGACAGTCTCACGCCTATTAGAAGTGTGAGAAGAGGTGCGGCACAATCCTACATTCTCACAACCACCCACGTGGCACATACTGTTAGGCTCTCCATTTGACAGAGGTTAAAAATAAAAGGCAAGGGGCCGGGGAGACGGCTCAGTAGAATAAGCGCTCAAGGGCCTGTGTTCAATCCCCGGTTCCGCCAAAAAAAATAAAAGGCAAGATTCTTCCCCAAGGTCACAGACCTCCGGAGGGGTGAGGGCTGAGGGGGACTCCCTAGAGCAGGGCCTACAGAGGCATCCCCAGAGCCAGCACCCGCAACCTAGCGCCCCATCTGGCCTGCGGACACGCAGACGCTAGACCAACCAGAAAGGCGGGACACACAGTCAAGGGCGGTGGCAATCGCAAGGAGCAACCTCCACGACCTCTGCGCCGGCCGCTACCACTCACCTAAGCCTGGAGAAGGCGCAGTCCGCAATACCAAACCCAGGATGCCGCACAGCCTAGCCACATTCTCCTGCTGCACTTTCTGGCTTCCCCACAGTCCCACTTCCGGCCAACTAGCCTCTACTTCCGCCCGCTACGCACCGACGGGAACTGCAGAGACTCAAAAGACTCTCAGCGTTCTCCAAGGACGCTTTGCACCTGAGGGCGCTGGTGAAGAGACTGAAAGAGTCTAGGACCTGGCGGGAAGGTTGGAGCGCGGCGGTGGCGCTGCTGGTGCGGGTGCCGTATCGCGGCAGCCTGGGCAGGCCCGGCGCCCCTGTGAGAGCCCAGGGCGCCCTCGCGTCCGAGGTGATGGTAAAGGGCTGATCAGTTGCTACTGAGCACAGTTGAAGCAAAACAAGATGTCAGCAGACTCCTCAGGACAAGGTTTTCAAAACAAAAATAGAGTTGCAATCTTAGCAGAGCTGGACAAAGAAAAAAGAAAATTACTTATGCAGAACCAATCTTCAACAAATCATCCAGGAGCTAGCATCGCGCTCTCCAGGCCCTCTCTGAACAAGGACTTCCGGGATCAGGCCGAGCAGCAGCATATTGCAGCCCAGCAGAAGGCAGCTTTGCAGCATGCTCACACACATTCATCTGGATACTTCATAACTCAAGACTCAGCATTTGGGAATCTTATTCTCCCCGTTTTACCACGCCTTGACCCAGAATGAAGAAAATATCTGTGATGAAAGTGACTGCAATTCCAAAGGCCAAAGCTACTCATTCACTGCCCTACAAACTGACTTTCAGAATTCTGGTGAAGGTACATATTTTTTGCTTCCTTAAGAAAGGAGAAAGTAAGTGAAAGCTAGGAGAAGAGGAGCAGGATGACGGACGCCTGGAAGCTGTCTCGTTTGAGGAACTGATGATGCTGCCCCGGACTACAACTTGTTTGTGACACCATTTGGTTTTTACCTCTAAATCTGATAGTCATATAAAATGAGGCTCCACCCCAACAAGTTGAGCTGAGAATACCATCTACAGTTAGTTTTCAAGAGCCATTTCTAGTACTTACTTAAAAAAAAAGGATTAAAAAAATAGGATTTTTTTAAAAAGTTGATTATTAGCTTAAGAAACTCATATATGTACTTTATCCTTTGGATTTAGGGTCAGCATATCATGCAGAAATATTCTTTGTGAACTCCTAACTAGTTCCCCTGTTGTCCATTTTAAAAGAAAGCCCAAACTAAGTTACTAACTAGTCTTAATTTCTTTTATAAACAAATGCCGGGGCTGGAGAGATGGCTCAGTGGTCTAAGGCACCTACTTGGAACAAGCTTGGCAAAGCACAGGGACCGCGGTTCGATCCTCCAGCACCACATGCCAGCCAGCCCCGCCCCCTGGTGGGCTGAGCTG